GGGAGGCGTAGGATGAAGATGGTCTCTCTCAAACAACCCTGCAACCAAATAACAAAAAGCCTCTTGTGTACCTAACACACCAAATACAATGGTAATTTGTATAGGTGCACTAGTTCGGCGAAGAGATGGTAATAAAAGCGTAGTAATGATACGACATATTGATTTTTGTAATAGGAACAATAAAAAACAGCAAGGTAGCAGTTGATAAAACGGAGCATGAACGGTACTAAAATGCTTGAAAATGAGGCCTAGGGTCTGTACTTTCACTGGTGCAATCTCTCAACAATGCTAATATAATTGGATAACATAACCATCCCTCAACGTGCGATGAAGAATCACTCCTAAGTTCCTATCTAGTGGAGAACATAAGAAGAAATTGTTTGTAGGGTACGAAACCACCTCAAAGTTATACTTTCCGATCAATCTATCCTAGAGTTCGTACTAAAATAACACCAAGCTATTCTTCTAGATCGATCTATCTCAGAGTTCATACTAAAATAACACCATATGATACACATCGACCAACTCTAATGTCACCTAGATACTCCAATGTCACCACGAGTATCCGTGAGTTGATCTTATGATATACATCAAACAATTTCAGATTCATAATACTCAATCCAACACAAAGAACCTCAAAGAGTGCCCCAAGATTTCTACCGGAGAAACAAAGACGAGAACATGCATCAGCCCCTATGCATAGATTACACCAACGTCACCTCGGGAATCCGCGAGTTGAGTGCCAAAACACATATCAAGTGAATCAATATGATACCCCATTGTCACCATGAGTATTCATAGCAAGAAATGCATCAAGTGTTCTCAAATCCATAAAAGTATTCAATCCGATAAGAACAAAATCTCAAAGTGGAAACTCAATTCACAACAAGATAGAGAGGGGAAAACACCATATGATCCAACTATATCTACAAAGCCCGCGATACATCAAGATCATGCCATCTCAAGAACACGAGAGAGAGATTAAACACATAGCTACTGGTACAAACCCTCAGCCCCGAGGGTGGACTACTCCCTCCTCATCATGGAGACCATATGGATGATGAAGATGACCTCCGGTGATGATTTCCTCCTCCGGCAGAGTGCCGGAACAGGGTCTAAATTGGTTTTTCGTGGCTATAGAGGCTTGCAGCGGTGGAACTTCTGATGTAGGGTTATTTCTGGGGGTTTCTATATTTATAGGATTTTTTTGGCGTTGGTTTCACGCGAAGATGGGCCTCAAGGTGGGCACAACCCACCTGGGCGCGCCTGGGAGGTGTCTTGTGCTTACCTCCTTCACCTTCTGGTCCTCCCACAAAGCTTCTAGTGCCTATTTTGTTCCAACAAAACCGTCAAAAAGTTTCATTGCATTTGGAGAGCTTCTATTTCTGCACAAAAAATAACACCACGGTAGTTCTGCTGAAAACAGCGCCAGTCTGGGTTAGTTCCATCCAAATCATACCAAAACCATATAAAATTGTTGTAAACATGGCATGAATACTTCATAAATTATAGATACACTGGAGACATATCACCCCCCGCATGCGCAGGTGCCCCCTGGTCTCTGATACGACAGCTCGTACCGCCATGACCCCAAGAAAGATAACATATGGCTGACAGCTGGCATGAATTCAAGGTTAATGAAGAAGCAAAGAAGATCTCAGGACACAACATTGTTCCCGGCAAGATCGATGTGTGCGCCTATCATTGTGGTGCCTACCCCTACGATGTTCGGCGACACGCATGGTGTAGGCCCGGGGCCTCTTGTCGGTGCAAGAGACATGGACGTTTGCCGCCCTAACTTATGCACAGGCATGCTGCAACTCTTACATCAAGTGCCAAGTCTCATATACAACTAAACCAGAGAAGCCGCTCTTCGTGAGATCAAGGAGAACATTAAGGAGGCCAAGCATTGGAACAAGACACAAAATTCATAACGGGAGCAACCAACTCCGGCAGGAACGAGCCGGCAAGCCAAGACCCGGCAAGCCCCTTGGGCATGGGCTCCCCGCCGACACCAGCGCTCTGCCTCTCTCACCAGCTGGTCGCTGATCAGTGAGATGTCAAGGCCGCGGGTGTTTAGTTGGACGTATCACATGCGTGTCAGCTTGCTGGGGCGGCGGGTCACCTTTATTGACACTTGTCCTGATGGCGTGTCACGCTAATAGGAGGTAGCTGAATAAGAGGCTCGGCAACTTTGCCAGGATTCAACCTCCACATGACACCTAGCAGCATATTTAATGCATTTTGTCCTAAATAGCAGAGTTAGGTATGATAGTTCTGTTTCAGTCTAATCACCCATGTAATTACCTTTTTGCCAACGTGGTGACCCTTGAGCTATAGAAGGAGGGCCAGGGCAACATTAGTAGGAGTTCGAATCTTTGCAACCCTCACACATAGGTATTCGTGTAGCTGCTCTTTCCACCACTTGTCGGGGGAGAGCGCTCCGTGTATTTGTGCTAAAACACCACCCCATACACCAAAAGGCAGGAGTAGGGTTTTACGACTCCGGGTGGCCCGAACCTGGGTAAAATCGTGTGCTTCTCGTTGTATTTGCTCTTTGCGCCAATCGCCACCCCCTTGACGAACCAGGAAAGGGGCAACATTGCCCCATAGATCGCTGGCTCCACGTCGACAGTGTGCACGCCATGCAAGGCACCGGACGCGGGAGGTGGCGGCAGCCCTCGCGGCGGCCGACATCGACGAGGCGGTGTCGCATTCTCCGGCGCCCCGTATGGCGCATAGCACCGCAACCGCATCATGGTGGACGTTGGTGGCTCGTCCCCGGACGGATCCATCATCGATTTGAGGTCCATCGGCACCGTTCGGGTTCCAGTTTCCGACGAGGAAGAGTAGGGCATGGGAGACGGCAGGTCCTTGAGTCCCATGGGCCAGCTCGTGTCCCATGCCCTACCCTACCTTGCCGGCGATCGGCCCAACACTATAAGAAGCGCAGCCGGCCGCCGGACATGGCCAGAGCGGAGCCAGGCGGGCGGGGAGCGGAACCGGACGAGCTCTGCGTAGATTAGGTTTCACGTTGCATGTAATAATATGGATTTGAGCTTTCTAATTTGAGGTATCCGGATGTGAAATGCGTTTTTTGAGGGGTGACCGATCATTGTCCGTGGACGCGTCCGGGGGTCGGATTTGCCAAATCCGGCTGTAGATGCTCTTAGATATGTCTCCCTATTTAATGTACAAACGTGTCATTCCTGGGCGTAGTTGCCAGTGAAACGATTTGCGTCCAGTCAATTTCGTGACCATTGCTGCCACGAGACGGCTCACTGGACGAGCATTCGAGGGCTGCCACACCTTCTTCGACCTCAAGCCGGCCCTTCTTCGGTTTCAAAAAAAAAAAAGCCGGCCCTTCTCTTCTTCCTTCAGCACCCGTTTCACGTGAGGTAAGTTCACCACCTGAATAAGAGGTGAGATTAATCATCCGTGCATACGTAAGCAAACAGCGGCACGTTGCATCCGGGGAAAAATGCTTGTCACCACACAACCATGTGTTTTTCGTCTAAGACAGGCTGAGGAGGATGCATGCTGCCAAACTATATGCACAACATTATTTTTACCTCGTATTCACATAGCCATGTCCAACTCGGCCAGATTCCTGAACGGAGGCTAACGAACGCATCATAGATTTACACACGATTTATGGAGTAACTGGGGACTGGTGCGTTGTGTCTCAACTAATATCTTCCTGCCTCTTCATTTGTTGGAATTTCGCCCAAAGAGCAATCATCACATTAAAAACGACGAACAGGGGACGAAGGACTGGACTCCTACGCCACGGCTCTACTTGGAGATTGTGAGCGAGCGAAAATACTAGACTACAGAGGATCTACAGAGTAATTAGGGACTGATGCGTTGTGTCTCCTAATCTCCCCCGTCCCCTGATTTGTCAGAAGTTTCGCCCCAGATCAACCACGTTAATAACGACAAACAAGTTGTTAAAAAACCGATGAGCAAGTGATGAAGAACTGGGCTCTTGCGCCTTGGCTCTACTTGGAGGTGCTGAGTTGTGTCTCAACTAATCTCTCATTACCAGCGGTTTAGCAGCTACTGTATTTGTTGGGCCATTTGAAATTGTAGGAATCAGGCGACCTTTGAATATAAGAAAGTGGCATCTCCTTTTGAGTTTGTGTTTACAGCGTGTCTTCATTTGAACTACTGGGCAGGACTCATGAAGAGAGAGGACCGCCTGGAGTTGGAGCACGCCAACAGCATGATGAGGCTATGCGCGACTGCCTATGCTGAGGGCACCTTGGAATGAGCTCTCCCAGGCGATGCAGTCATCTTCTTGCTGTGGAAATAGTGCGATGCCTTGGACTTTAGTTATTTTGCTATGTTGATGTTCGATGTTTCTTCTTCTGATGCCTCTGCGCGGCTGTTCAGACTGTTTTTCTGTCCACAGTACTTGTTTAGTACAGTACTTGTTTAGTTGCGCGTTGATGGTGCTTCAAGGTTTTTGCCACGCGGTGTACGTTTCGATTATTGTGAGCGCCTACGGTGAGTTTCCTAAAGTGCTTGAACTCGCCTTTTCCCTTTCCCTGTTTGTTAAGACTTGGATTCAGCTGTATTTCCATTATTTCTATATAACGGAAAGGGGATTAGCACGGTTTAAAAATAAAAGTTGCAAATAAAAATAGAGGACCATTCAAAGAACTTAAACCTCTCTCCCACAAAAAAAAGAACCGAAACCTCCTTTGGCAGTGGTTTTGCTCATAATTGTATTCGATTTTGTATATTTACAACAATGTGTTTGTAAAATCTGGGAATTACAAAGAAACTAAGGGACATTTGGATAATTATTATTATTACTGGCCAAATATTTATATTTCCACCTATCATGGCCTAGAAAACAATTCACCTGGAACATATGGGTTGAAATAATCCCAGAAACTCAACTGTAGAAGAATATCATAAGATAAAAATGTGAATGGAAGCAAGTCCAGTTGGCCTAGCGCTTCTAATCTGTTCCGTTGCTTTGGGTCGGATGGTCAATTGGAGTATACATGCCCCATTTTCGTTCTTTTGGTCTCCAAGTATCTCTGATTCTCAGTGGTTATTGGAGTTACCAAGGGCACCCTACCCACAATGCTCAACCCGTAACCCTTCAGACCAACATATTTGGCAGGATTGTTAGTCATCAACTTCATTGAACGGACTCCTAGATCGCGTAATATCTACAGAGAATAAGCAAAAATGTCATGACTCCTGGAATACATCAAGAGAATGCCATGTGACTTCTATAATAGCAAGGATACACCAGATAAGATTAGTAACAGCGAATTCATGAAGAGGATGGATAAGCATGTCTAAGTGGATTTTTTGTACAGTTCTGCATACTGTATGAAATACGAAAATCAGTTCAATGTGCCCCTGGAAGTCTTCCTATATAAAAATGTATATGATATACAAAAGGGATGATGTAGATTCTTACCTGTGCACCGATCCCATATTCCCTCGAGTCCACAGGCAGTCCTAGTTCCTCGTTAGCCTCCACAGTGTCACGTCCATCGTCTTGTAAGTTATAAGCACGAAGCTTGTGACCCAGACCAATACCCCTCCCTTCATGCCCACGAAGATAAACTAGTACACCCCTTCCGGCCTTCTCAATCCTCTCCATTGACATTGCAAGCTGGTCACCACAATCACATCTTGCTGATCCAAAAATGTCTCCTGTGAGACACTCAGAATGGACCCTCACAAGAATATCTTGACCATCTCCAATCTCACCCTGTTGGTTGTAGAATAATACAAGGATAAAATCAGGTTTTAGAAGGGAAATAAACTACCAGATCTAACAATTACGTCCTACAGAAGCATTATAAGTCTTCAGTATCTTACTTTCACCATTGCGATATGCTCGATCCCATCAATAACAGATCTGTAGCAGTAAGCACGGACATTGCCCCATCTCAAAGGTATGCGTGCAACAGATGCACGTTCAATTAGTCTGTCTCTTTTTCTCCTATATCTGTAAAAGAATTTCTGTGAGCATGCCAACAAGTATTCCATAATAATCATAACAAGAAAAAAGAGGACAATGAAAAATAATAATATTTAGTATCTACATCCTATCAAAAATGCCAAGTCGTTAAGTGTTATAGGAACTATTAGTGACCTATTACTCTATTAGCCTATATGGCAAGTAACAAAAACCCTCAAGGCTAATACAGGAAGCATCAGGACTTGGTCAGGGCTGAGGTTATGTCAAAGAACTTACCTAATCAAGTCAGCAATCGATACGATCTTCAAATTATTCTTTTCAGCAAACAAGCGCAGCTTGGGTAAGCGAGCCATGGAGCCATCCTCATCCACAATCTCACAGAGTACTCCAACAGGAGGTAACCCAGCCAGCACAGCAAGATCAACAGATGCTTCAGTGTGTCCAGCTCGTTTGAGAACACCCCCGTCTCTGTACTTCAGAGGGAAAATATGGCCAGGCCGATTGAAATCTTCAGGCTTTGAGTAAGGGGATGCAAGAGTCATGACTGTCTTTGCCCTATCCTTTGCAGATACCCCAGTTGTTGTGCCTTCTTTAGCATCCTACAGACCATAACAGATAAACTGCACCTTAGTAGAAAATTTCTATCGTAGAGATGTTTGTTGGGAACAACTAACACCTAGGTTGATTTATTTTCCAGTATGAAATAACGAAATTAGTAAGCTATATGTGCTTCATCAGTTAAGCAAATTGATAAGATACAAAATTGTTTTGGACTTTTGGTTAGAAGTTGCATATAATGTAGATCAGACAGTATTTGTTCTATAGGACTCCAAGAAAAGAAGGATGATAACAGGGAAGGACAATTTTGCAACAACAACACAGACACACCAAAAAACAAAGGTGCCAACATGTTGCTCAGACAAACATGAAACTCGTAGAATTGATCTGTGCTTGTACCACAGACCACCGTATCTGTGCATTTTTGCTTTTGCAAAGGAAAAGAAATGCTAGAGAGAAGCATGCCATATCCATACTTTTGACAAGCAACAGAGAAATTGTTGCCCATATAACACCATAACTACGTAATATAATGCTCAAATATGAATAACAATAGTAGCATACCACAGTAATGGTGAAAGCAGTACATAGCTTCTCCTCATTTTCCTTTGTTGAAACCATCAAAGGAAGGTTCAATCTTTCCAGATCATTTTCTTTCATGCTAACACACACAATTCCTGTGCTATGCCTTACTATGAAAGCCATAGCCTCTGGGGTAACCAAAGAAGCAGCCAATATAAGATCACCTTCATTTTCTCTTGATTCGTCATCAACGACAATCACAAGCTACAAGAGCCATCCAATGTCAGGAAAATACCATGTAGCAGTAACAGAACTTGTTAGAAAGATAATAACAAATAAGCCATCAAACAAAGAATTGCAAGGCATACTAACTTTTCCTTGTCGAATGTCCTCAATAGCCTCCGAAATCGATGAGAAGCCCTCGGTCGGACTATCCAGATCAAGTTCAGCATCGTCTTCTTCGTTTGACAATGTGTCCACGACACATGACAGATCAGTAGATATGATTTCTGCTGCAACAACAGAATCCACAGGAATAACAGAGTTTGTGGTTGGATGGTCCTGGGCTCGCACAGAAGTGCTCTTTAACGACAGTGTGTCATCATTTTCCAAGCAACCATCAGCTGGAAATCCACTATTCTTTTTTAAGGATGCTGCTATCTTCAAGCCCAGAGACTTCATGTTGGCATTTCTCGAATTTGTGGGAAAAGAATAAGAAACTGATCCCTTTGCCTGCTTGGACACATCACTGCCTCCCAAGAACTGCACCCTGCATTCGTACAAACAGGTGAAAATAAAACCTGCAAATCAGTCTCACTCATTCAATCAATTAGGCTTAAAAGACAACTTCAAAAAACTATAGTCATGCTTCTCTATTTCAGTTCCAGAGCTGTGAAGGTTATATTTCGGTATCTTAAAACGGGGCATTGTTTTTGTCATCTTACAACACAACAGAGTTACTACAACCGTACTATCATGTTCGTTCATCAACTAACTTCACTCACACTAGAGACGCTGACAAAAACCAGTAGACCATTGGTGGGAGCTATCAATCAAACGTACAAAAGCGTGGATTCCTATGCGCACAGAGCCAAGAAAGCAAAGCAATAAAGAAGTGTGGCCAGCGCAAGACGAACAGAGGGAGGGCCGGAGCGGGCTGCGCAGGCGGAGAGAGCTTACGGTTGGCGGCGAAGCACGGCGACGGACGAAGACGACGGCGCAATCGAAGCCATCCCGATGCTCTCCTCCAAGACAAGGACTCAACCTGCTAATCAACCACGGAGAGCCGCGAAATCAGCGACCGTACGTCAACATCTCTCGAACCAAAATATTCAAATTCCGGTCTAAAAGACGCGCGAGATCTGAAAACGACAAATCAGCGATTCTTCGTGCTTCGATCTCGACCCCTGCAGCCTCCAAGGCGCTGGAACGAATTGCCGAGGGGCGGTAATGGCTCTTACCCGTCGGAGGCTTCTCGGCCGAGGTCTCCTGCGGCGGCGAACGAGAAGGAGGAGGGAAAAGAGAGCTTCGATTCGATTTCCTTCTCGGTATTGGATTTGAGTTCTGGTCGTGGTTGGGTGAGTTGATTAGGGATGGGGTTGGTGTGGGGAGAGAGAGAGAGAGACTGGGGAAGAGGGGAGAGACAGGGTGCGTGATTTATAACGTGCAGGTGCAGCCACCAACGCGGCAGGTTCGCGCTAGCCGCCTCGAGGCCAAATCTCGTGTTTTGACCCCTTTTTGAAACAAAATCGAGATCTGACCCCCTTTTGAAAAAAATTCGACATTTGACCCTTTTTGCTACCGCCAAGAGGCCCGGTGGTAGGATTATCTAGGCTACCGCCGGATACTGCGGCGGTACGAAACTTATCCACGTCAGTAGTGTTAACGGCCTTCGTCCCCCCTCCGTCCCACCCTACCGCCGCCGGTCATGGCGGTAGCCTGTCCGATCCTACCGCCGGGGTACCTGGCGGTAGGGTGCGGGCAGTTATAAGCCGCCGGCCGCCCCACCCCTCCCCTTCTCCCCCAACCACCCGCCTCAAAAACAGAGGAGTTCTTCCTCTCGCGCCTCTCTCTTCTCCTCCACTCTCCCCCTCAGATCTTCGTCGTTTCTTCACCATTTTTGCGGATCGAGATGGCCCCGAAGAAAGAAAAGTAAGCTCCTTCGATCCCTCCAATTAGTTTTAGTCAAATAGCTTCCGATTCGCCGCATTATTTGATTCAAATCACCCCCCCCCCTTCTTGAACTAGATTTAAATATTTTGAACCCTAGGATTGATTTAGGTTGATTATAGATGTTATATTGTGTTAGATATGAACTCTAGTCACTAGTTGGTATGATTATGTGAAGATGAACCCTAGTTCATATTATTTTTGAATGAATTTTTTTTATATGATGCATGTTGAAGGAAGATATTGTGATATGATGATGCATGTTGATATGCTATGATGCAAGTAGTGGATATAGTTGGAGAACAAATGTTGAACCCTCAAGATGAACCTAGTTCATAATTTTTTGTGTTAAAAAAATTTATATATGATGAATATTGGAAATATTTGTTTTGATATAGGATGCATGTGGATCTTATATGATGCAAGTAGTGGATTTTGTTGGAGTAAACATGGTTAATCCCTCAAGATGAACCTAGTTCATGGTTTTTGTTTTCAATATATGTATTGTATTTAGTTCATGTTCATGACAATCTAGATATATGATTATTCAAAGATTGAAGTCATAGGTTTTTTTGGATGTGATGAACCTTTGTTACGCATCGATATCTTTTGATATGCTTATGCAATTCTTTTAGGAGGCCACCTCTTGCAGACGACATCGACACGAAGTACACCATGCTTGACCGTAGGTTCGACAAGCGTCACCGTGCCTGTTTCATTGAGAATGGAGTGGTAATTACCATTTCAAACCAAATCTTTCAAATTGATGAAAACAAGTTGCTAACTATTATATCCATGCTAATTATGCTTTGGTTATTGATTTTCACAGATGCTGCCACCACTACGGATGAGGGCTCACAAGACGATGGTTAAGATGGAGTACGACGAGCGGTACACACCGTTCTTCAGGAGAGCCCGATTATTGGGTTTCGTCCTGCAGTTCAAGCGTAAGCCGCCGACACTCGTCCACTTAGCTCTCACGGCTTTGGTTGACCGGTGGCGGCCAGAGATGCACAGCTTTCATCTTCCATGTGGGGAGATGACCGTGACCCTCGAGGATTGGGCGATGATTACGGCACTACCGCTCGAGGGTCGTGCTCTCACA